ACACACACACACACACACACACTTGCAGACACACAGAAACTGTCACTGAAAACTAGGTAGCAATTTCTCTTTGTCTCTGGTAGGCACTCCCAGCATGGTCTGATTCACAAGGCCAGCAGACCAGCCCAGAGGAATAGGTCACCATCATCCCAGGGCCCACCCTGTTGTTGCCTGGGGCCATACCCAGCTTCAGGGATTTAGGTCTCCTAGCCCAAGGTGGGACAAGGGGAAGGATCCTAGACCTATGGAAATGAGGATGCTTGGTGTTGTGTAGTCTCCTGGGCCTGTTTATCCCCTGCCCCTTGGGGAGCTCTTTCCTGGAGGTGCCAGGCAGGGATGAGGGAGATGGTACTAGGACCCGACAGGGTCATATCTATACCACAGGGAAGCCTTGGGGACCCTTTTCAGTGAACACTCCAGGACTGAAGCCTTGGTCCAAACCTGAGGTAGATGCATCTGGCCATTACATCAGTAGCTGGCTTAGAAAGGGATTGTGAAGCATAATCTTTTGAGGCAAGGCTTTAGTAGCTCAAGCCAGCATTAAACTCGACTTGGAACTTCCTCCTGCCTTCATCACCCATGTGCTGGGATTACAGGCAGAAGCCTCCACCCCTAGTTGTACAGTCTGGGGTCAAACCCAGGGTATCATGCATGCTAGGTGAGCACTCTCCATCTGAACCATAACCCAGGCCCAGGCACTCTCTTTTAAATCACTGCTTGCTCTTTTTGCCTTGTTGACCAGAGAAGGCTCTGTGATTCCACCCTGGTCTGTTCCATGTCCCCAAGTGAACAGGGAGATCAGAGAAACTCCCTTCACACCCACCAGGACTCTGAGTAAGGTAAGTCCTTCCCAGATCCATAGTTTGCTTGCTGTCTGGGGATCTGAAAAAGTATGGTGCATGAATCCCAGGGAGGCAGGAGTGTGGGGACTTTAGTCTGAGCCTGTTGACCATCTTGTTGGTGACAAGGAGCCAAACGTCCAAACAAGCACTTCAGGTTGGTGGATGGGGGTATCCAGAAGTCTGTAGAATGGCTGCTGTCAGCATAGCCCTAGCTCATGGTTTTCTCTCTGGTGCTGTCAGGCAGTACCAGGTGACCATCATGGTCAGGCTGGCCCTCTCACTTGGGAGCAGGCAGGAGGTATTTCTGGAGTGTTTGTTCCTAAGCGTCCAGAACTCTTGCTGCAGCACCACACAGGGAACCTCCCTTACAAGTCAGAGTCTTCTCCCTGCAGCCTTCCCATCTCATCAGCACCACTGTCTTCACCAAGAGCCTGTGAGATGTGGCCTTTGACCTTCCAGAGTTCGTCCACACCTTCTAGAAGCTTTTGTGAAGCACTCACTGTGGACAGCACTGTGGCAAATTCTGGAGGTATGAACCTGAAGGTTCAGATGTATAAGTCCATACTTTCCAAAATCACCTTCAGAAGAACCAAGCTAGAAGTCTGGTGATGCACACCTGTCATCCCAGCCCTTGAGAGTCTGAAGGTCAGTGTCAAGGACAGTCTGGTCTCCATGGTGAATTCCATGCCAGCCTGGATACATAGTAAAATGCTGTCTCAAAAAATTAAACACTGGGGCTGGAGAAATGGCTGAGCTGTTCTGAGAGTTTGTTGGCACAGGGAACTTAACTCCAGCTCCAGAGGGTCCAGTGCCCTCTTCTGATTGTTCCTACACCTGCGTACATCCATACCCACATACAAACAAGTAATTAAAAGTAAAAACAAATCTTTTGTTGTTGTTGTTGTTTTTGAGACAGGGTTTCTCTGTGTAGCTTTGGAACCTGTCCTGGAACTTGCTCTGTAGACCAGGTTGGCCAAGAACTCACAGAGATCTGCCTACCTGTGCATCCCGAGTGCTGAGATTAAAGGTGTGTACCAACACCGCCCAGCAAAAACAAGTCTTTTAAAAACAATGATGATTTAATAAAGGACTTAAAGAATAGGTACCTGTGCTAAGAAAGTGCTGAGGAGAACAGAAGTCTTCAAATGCCCAGGGTTCTTTCTGCCCTTAGGTATAAGTCTCCAAGTTTTATTTTTTAATGAAACTAACACTGTGTATGCTAAGAAAAGTAAAAAGGGGCAGTGGTGACAGACATCTTTAATCCCAGCACTCAGGAGACACAGGCAGGCAGATCTCTGTGAGTTTGACGTTAGCCTGGTGTACTGAGGGAGTTCAGGACAGGCTCCAAAGTAACACAGAGAAACCCTGTCTCGAAAAAACAAATAAAAAGGAACTATCCAAAAAAGAAGAAGGAGCTATGAGGTACCAACCAGGTGTGGAGGGCATGTCCTTAATCCCAGGTCTTTGGAACTCACAGGTATATACCAGGGTTAACCGATGAGTATAGCTAATGATCTTAGGGCCCTGATATATCTATACTCTCATGTCTACTGAATCACTGCTTATAATTACTGAGAAATGGAGTAACTGCCAATATAGTGGTGCACATCTGGAATCCCAGCGACCTGAATCATCCTCCTTGGATAATTTAGCAACACCTTGCCTCATAACAAATAAATAATTAATTAAAGAGGGTGGCTGGAGAGATTGCTCAGTGGTTCAGAGTACTTGTGGCACAATCATGAGGACTGGAGTTTTTTTTGTTGTTGTTGTTGTTTTGTTTAGTTTGGTTTGGTTTTTCAAGACAGGGTTTCTTTGTAGCTTTGGAGCCTGTCCTGGATTAGCTCTATAGACCAGGCTAGCCTCGAACTCACAGAGATCCACCTGGCTCTGCCTCCTGAGTGCTGGGATTAAAGGCATGCGCCACCACCGCCCAGTGAGGACTGGAGTTTTAATCCCAGAACCCATATAGTGAGCCAGGTGTCCCACAAACATCTGTAACTCCAGCTCCAAGGACTCTGATGCCTTCTGGTCTCTGCAGGAGTGCACAGTTGCACACAACTGCACTTTTGTCTAAGTGCATGCCCTAGAGGGCTGACGGGGACACACACACACACACACACACACAGGCACACCTTTTTGACAGTTTAGAATATCTAGATGATGAGCAGCTGAAACACTCAGGATGACACATAGAGACCAAATCCTCTCATCCCAGGTAGCTCCTCTGACAGCCTGCCCAGATGGCGACCACTGCAGCCAGTGTGGCTGTGGGCTCATGATGAGGTGACAGGCACACCCACACCAGGGGGCTTCAGTGGGGGTGGTAATGCTGAACCCACAAAGCCTGACATCCCTTACCAGGGAGCCTGGCTGGCAGAGCAGCAATCTGCAAGGTCTTGTGTTTTTGAAATCAGTGTCTGGAGTGTGCCCAGAGCTGGGGTCACCCTATGGTGTTTCAAGGGGGTGCTGAGGCAGTGTAGACTTTCAAATGCTTGCTTAACCTGACCAGGAACTGAAACATTCTTTCACACTGAAGAACTGGAAAGTAAGCTCTGATGAGCAGGTTACTTTATGGTAAGAACCTGACTGGTAGTGGAAGTGTGAAGAAAACTAACCCTCATTATTAACAAGTCTTTGCATCAGTGGCCATGGAAGGCAGTGCCCACTGTGGGGCAGGGGTCACTGAGATTTGTAGAGCTGGGCTGTCCAAGTGTCTGGCTTCCTGAGCCAGCTGTGTGGTGTTTTATATGTGAGTTAATTAAAATAAAGTGCTTTTATTCTAGAAAAAACAATGCTTTTTTAAATAAGGGAGGTGTGGGGTATAGCTTAATAATAGCACATTTCCCCTGCATATGAGGGCCTGAGTTTACTCTCTACTCTAACACTCACAAGGAAGGGAGGGAGGAAGGAAAACTTAAGTGTTCATCAACAGTGAATGGACAAGTCAAAATTGAGGTCAGCCATACAAAGAATGACAAGGAGAATCCTATCATTTTTTTTTTTAAGAATTATTTATTATACATACAGTGTTCTGCCTGCATGTGTCCCTGCAGGCCAGAAGAGGGCACCAGATCTCATTACAGATGGTTGTGAGCCACCATGTGGTTGCTGGGAATTGAACTCAGCACCTCTGGAAGAGCAGTCAGTGCTCTTAACCACTGAGCCATCTCTCTAGCCTGAAAATCCTATCATTTTTAGTAAGATGGATGGAATGAACTGGAGACCATTATGTTTAGTTAAAAAAAAAATAAGCCAAACAGAAAGATGAGCACCTGGGTCTCTCAGCGATGGAATCTATCATAGTTGATACCATCATTTGAGAGGATGGTGGCTCTGAGACTGTGGGAAAATGTCCAGGGTAGAGGTCCTCACAGATTCTATGTTACAGAGAGGTAGAAGCAGACTCTCTGGGGGTGCTGTTGGTTCATTGAGACCCCAAACCTGGACCTGTGACAGCCATAGTCATTTAAAGGGCAGAACTAAGTTCTGGGAGCAGGTCCTGCAGGAAGTGTGGGATGAGGAAGTGCAGAGATTGGACTCTGCTCTGGACACACTCACAGGACAAAGTGTAAGACTGTCCTTGCCAATCCCAGCACTAGGGAGGCAGAGCCAGGCAATTTTTTGTGAGTTTGAGGCCAGCCTGGTCTACAGACACCAAACTGCACAGAGAAACCTGGTCTCCAAAATAACTATATTAAAAAAAAAAAAAAAAAAAAGACTATCCTCTGGTGTGGGAAGGCCTTGGGGCTGTGAATGGTGGAGTTTATCCACTTCCCTGTTATTTCCTGAGAACCTCTGCTGTGTTTGTCTAGGCTGCCTCTGAACTGGGCCTAAATCCCACCGCCCAAGCCCCCAGCAGCTGGGACTATAGTGCAAACCGCTGTACCAAGCTGTGTTAAGAAAAGGATTTTATTTAAGCCACAATAGGGAGTCTTGACTAACCCTTCAACTGAAAATGTAAGCTCAGCACAGTTGTGCTGAGATTTAGCAAATGGTAGTGGAGACAGCCTTCCAGATCCAACCTAGTTGCCAAGTTCTTGGGATCCCAGGCTTCCTAAGCATGCGCTGCCAGGGTGGGGTTCTAGAACACTGGACTAGAAAAGCTCACTGCTACCTAACCTACTCCCTGACATGTTTACTGCTGATTAGCCGTTTAAAGGAAGATGGGACTGCCTTTGGGCCCTGTTTTCTGAGGCTCATTGTTGGGGGAGGAGATTATTTTGGGTTTAGAGAGCACTGACCTGGGTCTTCCCCCACACCAGTTCAGCCCCAATAACAACAGGCGAAGGCACAGGGGCTGGGGTGCGCGTCATACTGAGCAACTCTTGTGGCCTGTCATTGTTTCTTCTGAAGGATTTGTATCTTTGGAGGGCAAAAGTCACCCAGGCTTTCTTGGTAGGAAGCAGGGACCACATCTAGCATGTCAACACATGTGGCCTGTGACTACCACAGGGTGCCCTGGCTATGGGTGTGAAAGAAGTTTGTGGAGCCAGGAAGCCTCCAGTCCCACTATCACCCCATTCTCCGTATCCAACCTAGGCCTCAGGGGAGCTAGCTCTTTGGGGTATTGGAGCCGAGGACCAAGGATTTCCCCAGGCTCTCAGTGACTTTTCTCCATTGGATGGCCTCCAGCCCAAATAGCTAGTTCTTCTTTCCTAAGTCAACTCCTGGTCCTAACGAACATGAGAAGTAGTTTGAGAGAAGCCCAGATCATACCATGGCCTTGTCCCGGCAGGAAGCTTGCATTCCTTTTACCCTAATGGTACAGTCCTCAGAGTATGGTGGCCAAAGGAGGCAAGTTGTTAAGGGCGGCATGGCCCCCAGGCAGTCTCCACACCTCCTACTTGTGAGGAAACACTCTGGATGGTCCAAGCAGACTACTACTCTCCATCTTCTTTGGAGGATCAGGGATGCTCTCTGAAAGTGGGGTGAAGCCCAGCAGGAGGACATGTCTCTCGTAGGCCTTGGTCTGCTTAAACATGATGTCAGTCCCATGCAGGTGATCCAGCACCCCCAGCACCCCATAGCACTGGTTGAACCTGAAGGATGGAAGAGAATGTCTCAGCTGAACCTGGTGGGAAGCTGTGGTTCTCCCTGGGTCCCAGCCCTCCTTCCCATGCTTAGCATCACCGTGCTGCCCGGCTATAACAGCATCCTGGAGCATTGGAAGTATTCCCTTTGAGGGTGGTCTAGGGTTTTTGTTAAAGTTGAGAGCCACTGTGTGATTATGAACTGGAGGGTTGAACCCTGGGCCTTTCATATCGTAGGCAAGTGCCTGCCTGCCCTCTTCTGGGTACTGTGCATGTCTACATGCACAGACACCAGAGTGTGGGGCATTGATGTCCTCCACTGACCTTACCTCTCTTTACCTTGTTCTTCCTGAACCTGAGTTCACCTCTTCACCAAATCTACTGACCTGGGTTCACCAAATCCCCAGCTATCCTCCTGTCTCCTCAATGCTAGGGCTGTAGGTATGCACAGGACCAAAGCAGACATGTGGTGGATGTTGAGATACCTCACTATAGAGACCCACTGGCTGAGTCCTGGTATTAAAGGCCTGCCACCACGCCCTTCATACCTCTTTTCTTTGAGGGTGGAGTGGTTCAAGACAAGGGATGAGGCCTATTTTTGGTGTGGAAACTTTAATCCCACCACTTGGGAGACAGAGGCAGGAGGATCTCTGAGTTTGAGGCCAGCCTGGTCTACATGAGAAGTAGGATAGCAAGGACTACATGGAAAACCCTGTCTCAAAACCAAGGAAAGAGCCCACATTGCATAAAAGTGCCAAATTTTTATGCACACAGGTTCCAGGAGATGATTCAAGGCTCATGAGAGATTCAGCAGGCACAGAACCCAAATAATGTTTCCAAATAATTCCAAACTGCAGGAAGGACCTGGTGTCAAAGGGAAAGGAAAAAAGATGGAGGTGGCCCTACCTAGTTATCATCTTCCCTGTACCCAGGTGTCCCCCTGACTGGCTGACATTCAGATGGAGACTCCACTGTCTGCAGACACTTGGGTCTTGCAACAAGGGTGCTGTTGGCTTACTTGAGGTGGTGGTAGTCGTGGAACTCAGGTGAGGGCAGGAAAGGCAGGTGGTAGCCACAGTGGGAGATAGTGGTGATGATGAGGGCCAAGGACAACCACACAGTGATGGAGGACAGGTGAGAGCCCATTGCTAGAGGACCCACCATAACTGGCAACATGTTGGAAACCTGTAAGAGAGAGGATGATTCCAGGAGATGGAGGGAACCAGCTGGGTGTTCACTCTGCCCTGAGTGGTGCTGCACGGAGACCTTGGCTTGTAACTTAGGACACTCAACTCAGCTTCACCTTCCTCTGGAGCAGAGTCAGTGTGTAGAAGGTTGGGGAGAATAATGTAACACACACTGGGCACCTGGAATAGCTAAGAGATGGCAGCTTTTCAGTGGGAAGAAAAATGACAAGGGCAGAGAACCACCAGCCTCCATTCTGAGCTCCAGGGGCTGTATTTACCACGTGTTCAATAGGGTGGGCATAGACTGAAATCACACCAATGGGTGCTGTCCATTCATGATGTTTCTTGTGAATTTTCTTGTACAACGTTGGGTGGTGAAGGAGCCTGGAAAGATAATTGATAGTTGGTAATTGCCAACCTGCCCTTTGCCTCCATCCTGAGCAGATCATCAGAAAGCAAAGGTGGGAATGAGGTCCACATCTGAGGAGCTGGCATCTACTCCTTGCCCTCTTCTAGTCTGACTGTGGACGATAAGGCGGGCTTATGTTGCCTGGTAACCCCAGTGGTGAAGGAAACTGATGCCATAAAGGACTCTCCGGAAGTGGATGGGAACTGACCCGGTCTCCCAAGCAGGGCAACTCTTCCTTCACTTAGCATCATGTCAGTTGGAGATTAAGTTGTGTCTCAGGCAATTATGGGTGTGGGGCCTGAGGACAGAGACATTCAGTGGCCTCTGCTGACCAGGGAGCTGTCCCAGGGTGAATCCAGCTGTGTGCGTGTAGAGAACTCACCGGTGTGAGTAGTAGAACAGGATTTCCTCCACGAGGGTGAAAAGGGCCAGCTCCACGAGGAACCAGTGGAAGGTGGGCAGGTCTCGGCAGAAGGGGTCTCCCCTCCACTTGAAGAAAGGGTAGAAGATGACCAGCATGGGAAGAGAGATCATAGTCTGGTTGAAAACAGCTGTGCGGATAGACTGACGCAGCTTCACGGGGTCCACCTGCCAGGAGACAGAAGGAATGGAGAAAGGGGACATGTGAAGTAGGTCTCTACCTGACCTGCTCAGGGTGGGCTTCTGGGAGTGACTGGGGTAGTCCACAGCCTGGGGCTGGCCATGGTGAGCTGTACAGTCCTTGTCTGTCCTCGAGAGTGTCCTACAGAGCATAGGTTCTGTGTGCCAGGGTCTGCCACTACTGAGTTCTGGCCTACAGAACACCCAGTGCTCTACAAGGACTGTGAAACACCAGTTAAACACATAGGAACAGATAAGCAGTGATGATTGGCTTAGCCATCTTGATGAAGGATTTCAGAAGAGGTCTCTGACCTCAAGGCACACTAGACTGTTCTAGCCACATACAGGGAACAAGGCATCTGGATGGGTGTGAGGCCAGCATGGGCAGGTCCCCAATCTCAGCTCCCTCTGTGGCCAATCCAGAGATGCTGAACAGATGACACACTGGTCTCAGGAGAAAAGGCTAAGTGGTCACTTTGCATTGCCTAAGAACTGTCAGCCTCCACCCAGTGCCCTGGTGGCTGCAGGATACCCCTGGGTATCTGAGAATTAGGACTAGAGAAACAGGATGGAGGAGTCTGCAGAAAGAGACTAGAAACAATAGGAGTCACCCAGTGTCTCAAACTTGTAACAGTTTAGGAAAAAGTTATAGAGTAAATGGTTGAATCTGAAATTAGTGTGTGGATGAGTCTCCTATATTTTTCCTACATTTCTCGCTGTTTACAACTTCCTTACTATTAAATGCTGGGAAAAAGACAGCCAAGAGGAAGGTCAGAGACTGCATAGCCCGTTCTGAGAGGACATGGACAGTTCTGAGAATGGCATAGACACCTCTGAGAACACAGTGTAGACCGCTCTGAGAAGTGCATAGAGGATTCTGAGACAGTGAAAACCGCTCTGAGAAGGTGCATAGAGGATTCTGAGACAGTGTAGACAGCTCTGAGAAGGTTCATAGAGGACTCTGAGACAGTGTAGACAGCTCTGAGAAGGTGCATAGAGGACTCTGAGACAGTGTAGACATCTCTGAGAAGGTGCACACAGGACTCTGAGACACTGTAGACAGCTTGAGTGCATAGTTGTCTCTGTAGAGAGCTGTGCCTCATGGAAAGCATAACAGGAGGCGGTGTGGACTTGGGTTAAGTGGGGCCAGGGGCTGGTTTTGGATTTGGAAATAGTCTTGGCTGCTGGAGAGATGACTCAGTGGTTATGAGCACAGGCTGTTTTTACAGAGCACCCAGTGAGATTCCCAGCATGCATATGGTGGCTCCTTACTGTCACTCTGGTATCTTCTTGTGGACTCTGGGTGCCCCATATGTGTGGTACACAGACATACATGCAGACAAAGCACCCACACACATTTTTTAATGTATTGAAACAGTCTCATGTAGGGAAAGCTGCTCTTGAACTCCTGATCTCTCCTCCTACCTCCCTCTCAGATGCCACCATTCCAGCTGTGTGCCATCACACCCAGCCAAGGTTTGTGTTTTACTTTTTTTTTTTTTAAAGATTTATTTGTTTATTATGTATACAGTATTCTGCCTACATGTAGGCTTGCAGGCCAGAAGAGGGCACCAGATCTCATTACGGATGGTTATGAGCCACCATGTGGTTGCTGGGAATTGAACTCAGGACCTCTGGAAGAACAGTCAGAGCTCCTAACCTCTGAGCCATCTCTCCAGCCCCCTGTGTTTTACTTTTTAGAGATGGCAAAAGTAAAGCATTTACGTGACAATTCAAAGAGAAATTAGCTGGGTTTTGAAAGAGACAGAATAGTAAGAAAGAGGGAAGCATGCAGAGTCATTTCCTGGATCAAAAAGGACAGGAGCCAGGAGACTGGCAGGCACAAGCCAGAACACAGCATGAGACCCAGTGCTGTTGGAGCTGGTTATGGGGCTTTCATTCCCTTGGTGCAGCAGGAGCCAGGTTAGGAAGGAGGAGATGGGAGAGTGTCTGTGTGGGCAGGCTAGGATGCTAGGAATGCCTGCTGCCATCAGCTCCCACTGCAGCCTGTTCCTAGGATCCTTCAAAAGTCAGCACCTCCCACAGTTAGCCAGGGACTAGATGGTCCCAAGCTCCTTCCTGATGTGTCCTCAGAAAGTCTGAAGCACAGGTGTGCTGGCCTTGGAGTTTCATGGGTTGAGCTCTGCCTCTGCGGCCTGGAAAGCTGAAACTTGAACAGGTCCCTCACCTCTAGACCTTGGCCTCTGGGAGAAGCCCCCACACTGCCTACTGCTCTCTAGTCACTGCATACAGAAAGGTTTCCAGGTGGCACATGATATCTAGAGCTGTAGACTGCTGAGGATCTGTAGGAGCCCTGGAGCTGGAAAGGCCCAGGGTAGGGCTGGGACATGGCTCAGTGGGTAGAGGCCCTGGGATTGATCCTGAGCATCATAACATAATGAGGTGGAGGAAGGAAGATAGGAGTTCAAGGTCATCCTCACCTATATAGGAAGGTGGAGGCCGGCTGGGCCCAATGAAACCCTGTTTGGGTTGGGAGAAGGGAAGAAAGAGGATGTTCTAGTCTATGTCATGTGATACCCAGGGTCCATGACAAAGCTTCATCTGAAACATGACAGCCCCCACAGTGCTCAGCCTGAAGATGAAGGCATTTAGTCATGGTGGCTGCTCAGAGACAGAAGGTCTGCAGATGAAAGGGTCTTACAGGCCAAATACTGACACAAGGGCTTCCAGGCTGTTCTGCCAGGGGGAGCTGGAGGGAGGCTCCCAGCTCTCTGGCGGCTGTCCTCTCAGGAGGGGACCATTTCACAGGGCTCCACCAGGACTCCTTTCCACCCTACTGCCTTCAGGGTCAGGCTGGGCAGACTCCTTGAGAGCAGAGGTGACTCATTGGGCACCTGGGCAGGTTAACAGCCAATTGCCAGGAGAGTTGGGTGGGGCTGAGGGAACAGCTTGTTTTCCTAATCAACCTCTGCAGGGTTGTGTAAGGGAAGATTGTCTGCAGGTTGTCAGAGCAGCAGGCAGGCAGGGCCAGACTGCAGTGTGGTGATTCAGCCCCTACAGTGAGCAAGTGCAGCTGCTAAGAAGCTGGAGCTGTTCCTGCCTTCCTGTGGTTATCTTGACAGCTCACTCTGCTGGCTGCCTTGGATGATGGTGGTGCATGCCTTTGATATCAGCACCTGGGAGGCAGAGGCAGGCTGATCTCTGTGAGTTCAAGGCCACACTGGTCTACATAGTGAGTTCCAGGACAGGCAGAACTACATAGAGAGATCCTGTCTTAACAAAAAAATAAATAAGGATTTGCTAACATGACTACCTCATTCATCCACGGTCTGCACCACCATCTGCCACAGTGAAGTTTCCTCCCTTGGGGCAGTGGATGTCTGGTTTCAGATCCATGGTCCCTGTGCCATGGGTAAAGTGCTGCTGGTGTCTCTGAGACAGCCCAGGCCAGGCTGAGGCAGTCATTTCTTTCCCTAATACGCTAAGCACAGTGTCATGAGGCATCCTGTGCTGGGAACAACAAGACCAGGACATTGGTGTAGACTGGTGACTGGCTGAGTGGCCTTTTCATTTTGTTTTTTTTACTGGTGTGTGTGTGTGTGTGTGTGTGTGTGTGTGTGTGTGTGTGTGTGTGTATAGGTGTCTCTGTGCCCTGATGAGCACCTGAAGGTCAGAATAAATGAAGTTTTTCTTCTTCCTCTGTGTGGGTTCCAGGGATCAAACTCAGGTCTTTGGGCTTGGCAGCAGATGACCTTACTTGCTGAACCATCTCACTGGCCTTTTCTTTTAGACAGGGTCTCATGTAGCCCTAGGTACATTCAGACTTCTCATGTAGTCAAGGATGACCTTAAACTTCTAATCTTCCTGCCTCCACTTCCCTGAATACTTGGATTATAGCTGCACACCCTTACATGGCATATGTGCTTTGGGGGTGGAACCCAGGGCTTCTTTCAGGTTAGACAAGCACTCTACCAACCAAGCACACACACACACACACACACACACACACACACACACACACACACACACACACTCACACACACGCTCCCTTCTCTCTAAGCTGGATTCAGGTCACCTGGAAGGTAAGTCATCTTCTTGCCCTGACTCTGGTCCCTGCATCCCCAGACTAACAGCCGCAGTGACACTCACCGGCTCATTCTTGCCCAGTTGGATGCGGTAACGGGAGATGAAGGTGGGTTTTCCTGTGGTGTCCACCACCAGCAGGAGGCCATTGAAGCCCCAGAAGCAGAGCCCAGGCACCAGGGCAGCACCTGAGGCAGAGAGCAGAGGGTCCTAGAGCAGCCCTGGGTACAACAGTAGCTCACTAGGAAGTGACTGAACACCTGCATGGATCTGTCCCTGCCTGGTGGCACACTGCTTGTGTCCTAGCCATGGAATCTGGAAAAGTCACTAAATGTCCGTGTTTGTTCTGTCTTGTCTGTCTGTCAGTCTGACTATGTGTGTTCACCCCTCCCCTGTGTGTGTGTTTGTGACAGGGTCTCTCTGTGTAGTCCAGGCTGGCCTTGAACTCATTTCACCCCTGGCTTGGCCTCTCAAATGCTGGCATTAAAGGTGTGTCTCACCACACCTGGGGTTTTGGGTTTTGTTTTGTTTTGTTTGACTTGTTTAGAGGCAGGGTCTCACTCTGTCCTAGGCTGCTCTGAAACTCACTGTATAGTCCAGACAGACCCCAAACTCATGGCAATCCTCCGGCCTCATCTGCCTGCTGGGATAAGTGTTGCTGCTGTACCCTCTAAGCACAGTTACTGATGACATTTCATTTTGCTCTGAGCAGTGTTCCTTATGGATGGTGAAACAGTTTGGCCGCCTGGTCTATTATTCCCAGTGCTGACACTCCATAAATATTTTAGAAGTGGGACCTTGGTGGTGCAGGCCTTTAATCCCAGGACTTGGGAGGCAGAAGCAGGCAGATATGTGTGAGTTTGAGGCCAGACTCGTCTACATAGTTAGGTTCAGTACAGCCAGGGCTACACAGAGAAACCTTGTCTGGATCAAAATCAAAATAAAATAAAAATCACAAGAATACCTGGGGGATAGAGAGACATGGCTCAACAATTAATATCACTGGCTGCTTTTCCAGAGGACCCAGGTACAATGCACAGCACCCACATCGTGGCTCCCAACCATTTGCAACTCCAAGGAAAACCAATACCCTCCTCTGACCTCCCAGCTCATATATGAGCATGGTGCATAGACTCAAGCATACACACAAACACATACAGGAAATAAATTGTAATTTTAATCACAGGAAACATTTAGAGTAGCCTAATGCTCTGTGAGTAGGAGATGACCTAAGAGTCCTTCACATGACAGAACAGAGCTGCCACTTTGAAATATTAAGCCCTTGCTCACGGGGCAGTTGGCTACAAGTTTTCAGCAAAAACCTTGGTTAAAAACAGCAGGTTGGGCAGGTAGTGGAGCATGCTGTAATCCTAACAGTCAAGAAGCAGAGGCAGGAGGATATCTGTGAGTGAAAGTACAGCCTGGTCTATAATCTGAATTCCAGGACAGCCATGACTACATAATGAGACCCTGTCTCAAAAAACACAACAAGCAGGGCAGTGGTGGCGCACGCCTTTAATCCCAGCACTCGGGAGGCAGAGCCAGGAAGATCTCTGTGAGTTCGAGGCCAGCCTGGTCTCCAAAGTGAGTTCCAGGAAAGGCACAAATCTACACAGAGAAACCCTGTCTCGAAAAACCAAAAAAAAAAAAAAAAAAAAAAACAAAACACAACAAGGTCAAGTAGTGGTGGCTACAAGTCTAATCCAGCACTAAGGAGGCAGAACCACTAGGATCTCTGTGAGTTCAAACCAGCCTGGTCTCCAGAGAGAGAGCCAGGACAGGTGCCAAAACTACACAGTGAAACCCTGTCTTGAAAAAAAACAACACCAAAAACAAATAACCCAACAAGAAGCAGCAGATTGAAGCCACAAACAGGTAAAGGCATTTGCAGCAAGCTTGACACCTGAGTTCAGTTCCCAGTACCACATGGTAGAAGGCAAGAACCAACTTCTGCAATTGTCCTCTGACCTCCACATGCGTGCTCTGGCATGCTCATGCCTCCTTCATAGGCACATGAAATAAATATAATAATGATAATAAAACGACAACAACAAATGATAATGAACTAGTATGGGGAAAGAACAAGTGTGGAGTCCAACACACAGCCCTCAACTTGCATCCTCACCTATAAGGAACAGCATCCACTCGTTGCCTTCAAATGTAGACAGCAGTTTCTCCCACTGGGTCTGCCAAAAGTAGCCAGAAGCACCCCAAAACCTCTGAAGATGCCTTGGAGAGAAAAGCATTTACATGGTTGCGAGCAGATGGGGAAGCCAGTTCTTTCATGCCCTGCCTCCACCCCAAAGATGTGGGGCATGCTTACCATGTGACTGAGTTCCAGAAGGCTACAGACAAGAGCAGCCCAGAGCCCAGGATGAGAGCTGTCCTCCTCATGGAGCCCCAGATGTGTCCTTCCTGCAGGAGGTGAGGGTGTCAGGCCGATCAGGCTCCTGCTGGGAGCAGGTGGATGACCTTTCCCTGTCTGTGGAAGGTCCTTCCCTACCAAGGGCTCTTGGCTGTGTCTGGGTGTGTTTGTGAACACCAGGACTCTAGACTGGGGGAGGGAAGAGGATTGCTCCAACTTCAAGATACTGTTGAGCAATGTTGCCGCCCAGATCTGGATGGAAAAGGCATTGAACAGCTGTGCCATGTGTATGTCATCAGACCTCATGGCAAAGGTAAGGAGCCACTCAGTGTGTCCTGGAGTCTCCTTTTCAATGGTCACAATTACAGGCAGGTATGGTGGCACACAACTGTAATCCCAGCTCTTGGGAGGTGGGCACAGGGAGATGAAGAATTCAGTGTCGGCCTGGCCTGCTTGAAACCCTGTCTCCAATTGTTCACTGACAACCACTGGATTATGGCCCTTACACAATGTCCAAAACATTCTAAACTAGAGGTCATAGAAGGCATGAAGACCAAGTAGCAGGGTCCCAGGCCTCTCCCAGTGTCACACCCACATCCCTTGTACTGTAGACATGGATGACAAATGTCACAGCACACTCTTCCTCAGCCTGCTGTGCTCTGCTTATAGTCCTTCAGAGGACATAATTAGCAGGGCAGTGGTGGAGCACGCCTTTACATCCAGCACTTGGGAGGCAGAGGCAGGTGGATCTCTGAGTTGGAGGCCAGCCTGGTCTACAAAGTGAGTTCCAGGACATCCAGGGCTACACAGAGACACCCTGTCTCAAAAAACAACAAACACATAGGACATACTGGATGTAGGGTCTCTATGATGTGGACACCAGGTCTCACTCCAGCTAATGACTAGGACAGACACGGAACTTTCACGGAGCTGACCTGAGAGGACACTACTTTCTTCCAGACTCAAGACCCGAGGGCCATATGGTTTCATGGGTCCATTCCCAGAAACCTGAATCTTCAAGTCAGCTCTCAGCCCTGTCTATTCTACTCTCCATCCAAAGATAAAAAGTCCTTTTCACAGCCAGTGAAGGTACACGTTAGGGCACAGCCTCAGGAATGCACTCTCTCGTCTCTCCTTTCCTACTCTGAAGTCTCTTTCTCTACCTGCCCTCTGTCTAGATTGGATTGCCCCAGACCAATCACAACTTGTACTGTGTGTGTGTGTGTGTGTGTGTGTGTGTGTGTGTGTGTGTGTGTGTGCGTGCGCACATGCCAGATGCCATCCCTGGGTGTTGATCCTCAGGCCTGCCCACCTTGTCTTTTGCAACAGAATCTCTAACTGGGACCTGAAGTTCACTGATGAGGCTTGGTTGGCTGGCCAGCAAGTCCAAGGTCTCAGGCTGTGTTTTCCTCCCCAGGGCTGGGATTACAAGTACATACTGTGGTACCCTGCCTTTACATCCCTTCTGGGGATTGAACTCGGTTCCTCATGCTTACATGCAAGTACCTTAATGACCAAATCATCTCCCCAGCCCAAGAACTTCTTCTCTGACACAAATCATTCTAACTTTGACAAGCTTTTTGGGCTGTCCCAGTGAATCCCTTTTAGTGTTCTGAGGACAATTCAGCGACTTTCTGGACTGTTACAGGATTTTTTATTTGTTTGTTTGTTTGTATGGGTTTTTGTGTTTTTTTGTTTCTGTTTTTGTTTTTGAGACTTGGTCTCACTGTGTTGTCGTAGAACTCCTTATGTGAACCAGGCTGGCCATGAACTTACAGAGATCTGCCTGCTTGCCTGCTTCTGCTTCACAAGTGCTGAGATTAAAGGTATGGCCACAGTTGGGGATTTTTTTTGTTTCTTTTTTTGTTTGTTTTAGTTTTTAATTTTTGAAACATTTTCTCTGTGTAGCTCTGGCTGTCCTGGAACTTGCTCTGCAGATCAGGCTGATCTCAAACTCACAGAGATCTGCCTGCCTCTGCTTTCTTAGTGCTACAATTAAAGGCATTCACCAGCACTGCCCAGTCAGTTTGGGGATTCTAAAGCTCTTGGATTCAATAAACTGCATTAGTCAATGAAAAGTTGAATTTCAGAGCTGGGTCTGGTGGTACACGCTCAGACACATAGAATAAAATAAATCCTGTTTTAAAATTACAAAAAAAATAAAAAGAAAGGGTGAATTTCATGTACAGGATTGCTCAGGAGGGTTTCCTGAGCTCTGCAGCAGGCCAGATAAAGAACAATGGTCCCCTTGGAGTGCAGGGACATGCAGTGTAGAGCTGAGCTGGGTCAAAGGATGTCCCTCCACCTCTCAGTGCATGGCAGCTTTATTGTCTCTACAGCAGTTGAAGAAATGACCAGTTCCAAAGCTCAGGGCTGAGACAGAGAGAAGAGGGTCAGTGTAAAAGGTTATGAACTTTCCAGCTCTCTCTCTCTCTCTCTCTCTCTCTCTCTCTCTCTCTCTCTCTCTCTCTCTCTCACACTCTCTCTCTCTCTCTCTCTCTCTCTCTCTCACACACACACACACACACACACACACACACAGAGATAGAGAGAGATGAGATGAGAGAGAGAGAGAGAGAGAGAGAGAGAGAGAGAGAGAGAGAGAGAGAGAGAGAGAGAGAGAAGCAAGTACATTGTGTAGTCATAAAGGGGTTTGGATCCTGGTGCTCTGTGCCTGGTCACTAAAATGAAAATATCACCTTGGAGCAGCCACCCCTGAAGCCTTGGACTGTATAGAAAACATAAAAGAGCCAGGGACTGGTGGCACACATCTTTCATCCTCACACTCAGGAGCCAGAGGCTGGTGCATTTCTGAGTTTGAGGCCAACCTGGTCTACATAGAAATTCCAGGACAGCCAGGACTATGTAGAGAGCAAAAGGGAACAGGAGACTATGGAGCCTCCAGGGAGGAGCTACCCTTAACCAGCACAGTGGGAGAGCAGGTGCTTACCTGGTTGGACTTCCCATGATGTCTTGGGCTTTCCATGTCTCCTCTCATCTGGAAGACAAAGTACAGGTTTTGGAGTCCCTGCCACATGCCACTGGGGAGGGGACAGTGAAGGAGGACAAGGCTGGCACCAGACAAACTGATCCTAAAACTTATACTGGGGAAATGAACAGTAAAGAGCTAAGAAAATGCCAGAAAGAAAGAGTGTTGGGAGGGGCAAAGACAAGGACTGTGACTCTTCCAACACTGAAGGCAGAGCTTCATACAAAACTGACTGGGGGCTGGAGAGATGGCTCAGCAGTTGAGAGCACTGGTTGCTCTTGTGAGGACCCAGGTTCCGTTCCTAACACCCACAGGATGGTTCAAAACCATCTGTAACTCCAGTTCCAGGAGATCTGATGCCCTCTTTGGCCTCCTTAGGCATCAGGCATGTATGTGGTACATATACTTACATGTAGGCAAAGCAATCATACACTTACATCCTTAAAAAATATTATGTGCTGGTGTTTTTGTGTGTTGTGGGTATTGCACATGAGGGCAGGTCCCTGTGAAGCCTGAAGAGGGCATCTCACAGAGTGACTGGAGGTGGGGCTACAGGTCATTGTGAGACAATGAATGTGACTTCTGGGGCCTGAACTGGGTCCTCTGAAGGTGAGGAACACTCTTATTGACTGAGCCATTTCTCCAGCGCTGCCCTTTCCCTTTTCTGTACTTCTTGGTTGTTTTATTCTATTTAATTAGGAGTGTACGTGAGTTATTCTCAATTGTTGACTTTTGAGTCAACAGTTCTCTAGGAGGAGTTGGCCTGGGGACAGCTGGCACATGCTGAGAGCCCTCGGGGTTCTAGTGCCTGCCTTGATTTGCCCCTGGCCTGGCTAGTGAATAGCCTGTTTGTTTTATGACAGAGCTTTAATAAGTTCATGGTAAGATACTCAGTTTCACTACCTTTAAGGGACAATGAGCTGTCACCTCACACTGGTTAGGGACAGCTGCTGTAAAAAATGCAACACAGGGCTGTGGGGGTGGCTTAGTGATGAAGCTGGTGTGCAGCATTCAGGAATTTCAGGGTTCCAACCCCAACAGCAGACAGAATGATGCAAGAGTTCCTGTATTCCCAGCACTCAGCAGTCAGGAGGATAGGAGTTCAGAGTAAGGAAGTTTAATGGGATCCAGGTGTAGTGGGACACAGTTGTCATCTCAATGCTGGGGTGTCAAGGACCAAGGGACCCCTGGGCTCATCGGCTAGCCAGTCAGGCTAGCTGAATCAGAACACTCCATGTTCAGTGAGAGATCCTGCTTCAAAAGTTAAGGTGGATAGTCTGGCATGGTGGTGTATGCCTTTAATTTTTAGTTACAGTGTTGGGAGGCAGCCAGGCTACATAGTATTAATGAGGTGAAGAGTGATTGAGGAAGATACCCAACTTCAACTGTGGACTACACACACACAAACACACACACACAACGACTGAGGAAGACACCCAACATCAACTGTGGACTACACACACACACACACACACACACACACACACACACACACACACACACACAACTTGCAGACACACAGAAACTGTCACTGAAAACTAGGTAGCAATTTCTCTTTGTCCCTGGTAGGCACTCCCAGCATGGTCTGATTCACAAGGCCAGCAGACCAGCCCAGAGGAATAGGTCACCATCATCCCAGGGCCCACCCTGTTATTGCCTGGGGCCATACCCAGCTTCAGGGATTTAGGTCTCCTAGCCCAAGGTGGGACAAGGGGAAGGATCCTAGACCTATGGAAATGAGGATGCTTGGTGTTGTGTAGGCTCCTAGGCCTGTTTATCCCCTGCCCCTTGGGGAGCTCTTTCCTGGAGGTGCCAGGCAGGGATGAGGGAGATGGTACTAGGACCCGACAGGGTCATATCTATACCACAGGGAAGCCTTGGGGACCCTTTTCAGTGAACACTCCAGGACTGAAGCCTTGGTCCAAACCTGAGGTAGATGCATCTGGCCATTACATCAGTAGCTGGCTTAGAAAGGGATTGTGAAGCATAATCTTTTGAGGCAAGGCTTTAGTAGCCCAAGCCAGCATTAAACTCGACTTGGAACTTCCTCCTGCCTTCATCACCCATGTGCTGGGATTACAGGCAGAAGCCTCCACCCCTAGTTGTACAGTCTGGGGTCAAACCCAGGGTATCATGCATGCTAGGTGAGCACTCTCCATCTGAACCATAACCCAGGCCCAGGCACTCTCTTTTAAATCACTGCTTGCTCTTTTTGCCTTGTTGACCAGAGAAGTCTCTGTGATTCCACCCTGGTCTGTTCCATGTCCCCAAGTGAACAGGGAGATCAGAGAAACTCCCTTCACACTCACCAGGACTCTGAGTAAGGTAAGTCCTTCCCAGATCCATAGTTTGCTTGCTGTCTGGGGATCTGAAAAAGTATGGTGCATGAATCCCAGGGAGGCAGGAGTGTGGGGACTTTAGTCTGAGCCTGTTGACCATCTTGTTGGTGACAAGGAGCCAAACGTCCAAACAAGCACTTCAGGTTGGTGGATGGGGGTATCCAGAAGTCTGTAGAATGGCTGCTGTCAGCATAGCCCTAGCTCATGGTTTTCTCTCTGGTGCTGTCAGGCAGTACCAGGTGACCATCATGGTCAGGCTGGCCCTCTCACTTGGGAGCAGGCAGGAGGTATTTCTGGAGTGTTTGTTCCTAAGCGTCCAGAACTCTTGCTGCAGCACCACACAGGGAACCTCCCTTACAAGTCAGAGTCTTCTCCCTGCAGCCTTCCCATCTCATCAGCACCACTGTCTTCACCAAGAGCCTGTGAGATGTGGCCTTTGACCTTCCAGAGTTCGTCCACACCTTCTAGAAGCTTTTGTGAAGCACTCACTGTGGACAGCACTGTGGCAAATTCTGGAGGTATGAACCTGAAGGTTCAGATGTATAAGTCCATACTTTCCAAAATCACCTTCAGAAGAACCAAGCTAGAAGTCTGGTGATGCACACCTGTCATCCCAGCCCTTGAGAGTCTGAAGGTCAGTGTCAAGGACAGTCTGGTCTCCATGGTGAATTCCATGCCAGCCTGGATACATAGTAAAATGCTGTCTCAAAAAATTAAACACTGGGGCTGGAGAAATGGCTGAGCTGTTCTGAGAGTTTGTTGGCACAGGGAACTTAACTCCAGCTCCAGAGGGTCCAGTGCCCTCTTCTGATTGTTCCTACACCTGCATACATCCATACCCACATACAAACAAGTAATTAAAAGTAAAAACAAATCTTTTGTTGTTGTTGTTTTTTTTGAGACAGGGTTTCTCTGTGTAGCTTTGGAACCTGTCCTGGAACTTGCTCTGTAGACCAGGTTGGCCAAGAACTCACAGAGATCTGCCTACCTGTGCATCCCGAGTGCTGAGATTAAAGGTGTGTACCAACACCGCCCAGCAAAAACAAGTCTTTTAAAAACAATGATGATTTAATAAAGGACTTAAAGAATAGGTACCTGTGCTAAGAAAGTGCTGAGGAGAACAGAAGTCTTCAAATGCCCAGGGTTCTTTCTGCCCTTAGGTATAAGTCTCCAAGTTTTATTTTTTAATGAAACTAACACTAAGAAAAGTAAAAAGGGGCAGTGGTGACAGACATCTTTAATCCCAGCACTCAGGAGACACAGGCAGGCAGATCTCTGTGAGTTTGACGTTAGCCTGGTGTACTGAGGGAGTTCAGGACAGGCTCCAAAGTAACACAGAGAAACCCTGTCTCGAAAAAATAAATAAAAAGGAACTATCCAAAAAAGAAGAAGGAGCTACGAGGTACCAACCAGGTGTGGAGGGCATGTCCTTAATCCCAGGTCTTTGGAACTCACAGGTATATACCAGGGTTAACCGATGAGTATAGCTAATGATCTTAGGGCCCTGATATATCTATACTCTCATGTCTACTGAATCACTGCTTATAATTACTGAGAAATGGAGTAACTGCCAATATAGTGGTGCACAGCTGGAATCCCAGCGACCTGAATCATCCTCCTTGGATAATTTAGCAACACCTTGCCTCATAACAAATAAATAATTAATTAAAGAGGGTGGCTGGAGAGATTGCTCAGTGGTTCAGAGTACTTGTGGCACAATCATGAGGACTGGAGTTTTTTTTTTTTTGTTGTTGTTGTTTTGTTTGGTTTGGTTTGGTTTTTCAAGACAGGGTTTCTTTGTAGCTTTGGAGCCTGTCCTGGATTAGCTCTATAGACCAGGCTAGCCTCGAACTCACAGAGATCCACCTGGCTCTGCCTCCTGAGTGCTGGGATTAAAGGCGTGCGCCACCACCGCCCAGTGAGGACTGGAGTTTTAATCCCAGAACCCATATAGTGAGCCAGGTGTCCCACAAACATCTGTAACTCCAGCTCCAAGGACTCTGATGCCTTCTGGTCTCTGCAGGAGTGCACAGATACACACACATGCATTTTGTCTGAGTGTGTGCCCTAGAGGGTGGACACACACACACACACACACACACACACACACACACACACACACACACACACAGGCACACCTTTTTGACAGTTTAGAATATCTAGATGATGAGCAGCTGAAACACTCAGGATGACACATAGAGACCAAATCCTCTCATCCCAGGTAGCTCCTCTGACAGCCTGCCCAGATGGCGACCACTGCAGCCAGTGTGGCTGTGGGCTCATGATGAGGTGACAGGCACACCCACACCAGGGGGCTTCAGTGGGGGTGGTAATGCTGAACCCACAAAGCCTGACATCCCTTACCAGGGAGCCTGGCTGGCAGAGCAGCAATCTGCAAGGTCTTGTGTTTTTGAAATCAGTGTCTGGAGTGTGCCCAGAGCTGGGGTCACCCTATGGTGTTTCAAGGGGGTGCTGAGGCAGTGTAGACTTTCAAATGCTTGCTTAACCTGACCAGGAACTGAAACATTCTTTCACACTGAAGAACTGGAAAGTAAGCTCTGATGAGCAGGTTACTTTATGGTAAGAACCTGACTGGTAGTGGAAGTGTGGAGCCAAACTAACCCTCATTATTAACAAGTCTTTGCATCAGTGGCCATGGAAGGCAGTGCCCACTGTGGGGCAGGGGTCACTG